TGAAGCTTTTCTTGACGCCGGATGAAGCATTTTTCCATGTCTGAAGCTTTTTCTTCTAAGCCGGTTGTACGTTTTTTTTCATGGTTGGAGCTTTTTCCGATGTCATTCGAAGCTTTTTTTCAAGCGGTTGAAGCAACCCCTGGTGTTGTTTGCAACACCACCGTCAGGGTGCGCCGTAGTAGCAGGGGGGTTGGGTGCTCGTGGGTCACAGCACCGGGACGGGACGATTCCAGCATCCCCGGACGCAGCCAGGTCGCACGGCTTCGGGAGCTTGAGGACCATGCCATGGCGTGCCCTAGGAGCCATGGCGGGTCTGCGATGCCGGCGATCCTGAGTGTGCGGCGGCACTCTGATCTCCGGTGAGGGAAATACGACGAGGGTCGCCGGCGCTCGCCGCAACTTTTCCTCTCTGATGCGCGGCTGCCGCTTCTTTTTTTCTGATTTGACGATGCGGGAGAAGAAGAAAGCCCTGAGGAAGAAGGAAAGGATGATGCGGGGGGAGAGGAGGCGCTGAATCATGCGGCCTGGGGCGCACGCATCGTGGGGCACGATGCGACCGGCCCAAATTTGGGCTGGCGCACCGGCGCCTAGCAGTGGCCTTTTTGAAAGGCCCCAGACTTCGCTGTCGTTGGCACCGAAGGACGGGACAGTATCCACCGCCGTCGGCGGCAGCCACTCACCGAGCCACAGCCCTCACTAGCGAGACGTGCTGCCTCCGCATGCCGTCGATCCAGGGGGCGTTGAGCTGAATTGTTGAACGGCCAATCAATCAGGCCTGCGGATCACGCGGCCCGCCCCCTTTCCCGCCGTTCTTCACTCGGACGAAACGCGGCACCGAGGAGGAGAGCCTCGGGATACCACACGCCAGTGGTTGCTTGCGGTTCCCATCTCCGCCAGCTTCGAATGGCGTTTTCTATAGCGCTGAATGTGGAGGGAGAACGAAGTAGTCGGTGCAGTTTGCAGTTGCACGTGAAATCAAGTCTTCGCCTCTCTCTCTCTCTCTCTCTCTCTCTGCCGACCTCGCAGCTCGACCGCCGTGCCCATGCTTCACGGGCACACCACATGCGAACGGAGCGCGTGCATATATAGTGGGACAACGGATACGCAACTTGACAGTTGACACGCAGCTCAGCTAGCTCCTCTTAGTACATTTGTCAACGCCTCACGGGTTCACCCGAACGTCGAAGAACTCCCCAACCCCAAGCCGTCGAGGGACCGAACGCAGAGCTTGCCAAGCAATATGACGGTAAGTAACCCAATCTCCCCTCTCACAAATGATTTGGTATCTAGGGAAAGTATTACTGGTTTATCATTTGGCCATTTTGTGTCTGATGTCATGATGCTGCTTTGGTCCATCACCTGCCAGATCGTGGAGATGTGCGTGCATATGTGCTGCGCCGGGTGCGAGAAAAAGATAAGGAAGGCAGTCGAGAGGTTAGAAGGTACGTAGCGTACCACAATCTTTCTATCTGAGATTATGAACAGATACGTGCTGAACGCATTCAGATGACAGTGATCTGATCTGGTCCGGTTTACAGGAGTGGACGCGGTGGAGATCGACATGGAGATGCAGAAGGTGACGGTGAACGGGGACGTGGACCAGAAGAAGGTGCTCAAGACGGTGAGGAGGACGGGAAAGCGCGCGGTGCTCTGGCCGACCCCCTTCATCGCCGGCGCGGGCGCCGGCGGCGCCGTCAACCTCCTCGCGCAGCAGCACCAGTACCACCCGGGCGGGGCCCAGATGTACGCGACCCACGCCTCGGGGCCCACGTCCTCGTACAACTACTACAAGCACGGATACGACGACTCGCGCCTCTACGGCGCCAACTCCGCCGTCGTCGGCGGCACCAGGGCCACCGATTACTTCAGCGACGAGAACACCGGAGGCTGCTCCATAATGTGATCCACGCGATCTCATATGGATGGGTTTTACTCTATGATTAAATCTTCTTCTTTCTGTCTCTGTAAATTAAGTACACTTTGCTGAAAAAAATCGCTAACAGATACAACGATCGCTCTCAAATAATCTTAAAATTTAGGACATACTGAGTAGCCATCTGAGTGGCACCCTACGTCCGAACGGAACAATATGCTGCTGTTCCTGTGGCGTGCCACTATACAAGCAACTTCAGCGCGGATTGGTGGTACAACAATGTAATATTCTTTGCTCCCATAGTTTATTCCCTGTGCAATAACCACGCGGTGAGCATGTCATCCAACTCACCATCCACCCATACCGTTGCCAAGAATGCACTAGCTCAGCTGGTTAGGGCATCTCCAACACCGACCCTTAAACTATCCGCATATATTCGGACGTATTATGTCATCCAACTCACACATGTATTGGTTTGCAGGGAGGTCTGCACGCATTTTATCCCGCAAACGGCAGACAGACATGGGGGCTTTGCGGGCGTCCGGACCACTGCCACGCCCGCGTCTGACTGCCTTGGCCCACCTAAACCCCTTCCTCGCCCGAAACAGTCAGCACCGCTCCATACCGTTAGTGCCGCATTCATGCCCGGCCAGAGCGGACGCGACCTTTCACTCGCGCCGGCGTGAGAGCGTCGCTTCCTGGTGCACGTGACTGCTCCATGTTCATACGGCACCACGGTCGTCCGTCCATCCGTCTGTCTTTCGCCCACATTAATGACACGCGGTTGCCGAGGAACCTACTTCAGCATCACTCGTCCGTCCGTCTACCGCCCACCATTGCCATTCGCCTGCTATATAAACTGCAGACCCGGCCATAGCCACATTCATCCACCTCCGGTCCTTTTCTCCTCTTCCGCACCACTCCCGCCATGGCCTCTTCGCGCTCCAAAGCTATCTGGGACGAACTATCACCGTAGCAGAAGAAGGACATGGTCGTCATTGCTGCCGACGACACCCCAATGGAGGACGCGGCCGAGGACGAGCCAGCGCTGTCCTCGTTGCTGGCGCCACCCTCGGAGGTGCGTTGCACCATGACCGTTGGCAAAGACCAGCAAGCGGAGGAGCGGCTCAACGCCGATAAGGAGACCATGCCGGACGTGGACGTGGCGGAGCAGGCGGCACCGCTCAAGTCCTACCGCTCCGCCTGCCAGATCCACCTCAACCGATGGTGATACCGCAAGCGTCATGTGGAACTGGAGGCCGCCTATAAGGAGTTCGATGAGGCGCGGACCAGGTGTGGGCAAGACCAACGAGGAGGACGAGGACATCGCCGACACTACCCCAGCCGCGCCCCGCCACCACGACCATGAACCCAGCATGTCTACGGGCGCCACTAACAACGAAGAACTGTAGTGCACGGCAGGTCGCTGCCGCTCGGGTCCCATGAAGGTCACTGCTTCTCCTCTCCCATTGAAGCCAAGCTTGGTGGGCTGAACATCATCGACCGATTAGCTGCTTGGCGGCGACGTGGACGCAAACAACTTCACTTCGTGGGGCTCCGGAGGCGGAGTTGTAGAGCGCCAAGGCGAAAATGGAGAAAGCAAAGCTTCAGTTCTTGGGGCTCATGGTTGGACACGGGGAATGGGCATCGACGATCATTTAGATTGGGTATTATACCTCCAGAGTTGGACAAGCACCACTTTTAGTTGAAGTATGTCCAAAATGTAATGAATTTCGTCATGTTTATACGAAATCCACCGTGTTTGCATGAATCTCTTTCGGTTTATATGAAAATCCGTCCATGTTTACATGAATTTCATCTAGTTAGTTCGGCTTGTAGTTATGCGAGCAGTGTTGCATGACCGCCTTCATGTCCGCGGACTCCTCCCACCCCTCTCCGTGGATGAATGCGGGAGGAAATTCGCGGGTCACCGTTGGAGATGCCCTTAGGCTTTTTAACGATGAAACTAGTCCATTCGAATTCAAGTCCCATGAAGTGCTAGACGTGTGGCATGAAACACTCTGGCCCTGACTTTTTTTGCAACTAAAGTTGCCATCCAAAAAGAAAAAACAAACCCTAAAAAATTGAGACCTGCCATCCAAAAAGTTGTCATGCTTGACAACTAAAGTTGCCATCCTCGCGTCACTAAAGTTGTCATCCTCGCGTCACTAAACTTGCCATAGAAAACGTTCAGAGTTGTCATGTGTTCGTGCCACACACGTGACACTTATCAGGGTCCTTATCTTTCTTATTCTTTGGGTCTATGTAAGATTTTTAGATTTTTTGGTGATGGTCCTTAAGTCTCAACATTTATTGACTGAGTATCTCAGAGGTGCTCATATGATATACAGTTTCTAAATCTTAGAGCACCTATAGCCAGACTTGTCAAATCCGGCCCCTGAAGTGCCCGCGAACGCGATCGGGCGTGTTCGCCGACAGTGACCGGTCATGCCTCAAATTAGCAACTCTGCATCTGCCTCTCTCATATTTCATCCGCTAGATCCATACACAGCATGCAAAGAAATCCTACGTACTACATACTACGTGCTACCCTAGCTAGTCTTCAACGTTGGAGATGTCCACGACGACGGCGTCGGGCGTCGGCTCGACAGGCGGGTAGGAGGCCTTCGGCTCATCCTCCTCCTGCTCGACCTCATCTATGTAAGCCAGCATCTTCGTCTCCTCCGTGGCCTTTTGCGCCTCCATCTCCTGCCGGCGACGACGTCTGGCCTCTACAGCCGACTCCGACCAGAGGGAATCGAGGATGGCCTGCTACTCTGCCTGCAGATCCGCGTCACCGGTGTCACCCACATCCTCCTCCTCCGGCTCATCCTCCTCCTCGTCTTCAACCTCCTCCTCCTCCTCCGGATCCACTGCATCTTAAGGTAGCCCCGCGGTGATCCGGGCTTCGCACCTAGCCCGGATCTGCTCAAGGAGCTCGAGCCGGCGCTTCGGTGTTAGAATAGGCTCTCTCCTCACCTAGCGGCGTGGGGGCATGGCTACTAGGTGGATGCGTGGAGTGGAAAGTGGCGGCAATGACGGACAGGAGGAGGAGGAGGAAAATGTGGATAGATGGTAGGGTTTCGGTGCCGCTGGACGACTTAAATAGCCGGGCTAGGCACGACGCGGCCCGCCATAGCTGCGCCATGCGGCGCCACCGGTCCAACGGAGGAGACGAGCTTCAGACCGCCGGGTTTCAGGGAGTTTCCGACTGGGACCCCTTTGTCAGTCCGACGTGGAGCCCCCATATCCGCCCAATATTTGGGCTAGATATGAGGGGTGCTAGTTAGCCCGGGTGTTTGAGGGATGTTTGAGGGGGGCGTCTGGATCAAAAATCATGATCGGACAGTGACCGGGCAACCCATCCGGGCGTAGGTACCTAATGTTTTCCTCATGTTAGCCAATTCCTGCTTCGCACGAGGCCAAAGGTGGGGACGATTGGAGGAGCGGCAACGATGAGCGTCAGCCACGCTGATATGTCTCCAACATAGCTATAATTTTTGATTATTCCAAGCTATTATATTCTCTGTTTTGAATGTTTTATATGCATTAATATGCCATTTTATATTATTTTTGGGACTAACCTATTAACCTAGAGCCCAGTGACGGTTCCTGTTTTTTCCTTGTTTTGAGTTTCGTAGAAAAGGGATACCAAACGGAGTCCAAACGGAATAAAGCATTCGCGATGATTTTTCTTGGACCAAAAGACAACTAGGAGACTTGGAGATGAAGTCGGAGGAGCCACGAGACGGCTACAAGGACGGAGGGCGCACTCCCACCCTTGTAGCCCCCTCGTGCACCTCCTGACCTAATTCTTTCGCCTATATATACCCATATCCCCAAACCAATAGAGGCATCCACGAAAACACTTTTCCACCGCCGCAACCTTGTGTACCCATGAGATCCCATCTAGGGGCCTTTTCCGGCGTCCTGCCGGAGGGGGATTCAATCATGAAGGGCTTCTACATCAACTCTATTGCCCTTCTGATGAAGCGCGAGTAGTTTACCATAGACCTACGGGTCGATCCATAGCTAGTAGCTAGATGGCTTCTTCTCTCTCTTTGATTCTCAATACCACGTTCTCCTCGATGTTCTTGGAGATCTATTCGATGTAATACTCTTTTGCGGTGTGTTTACCGAGATCCGATGAATTGTGGATTTATGATCAGCTTATCTATGAATATTATTTGAATCTCCTCTGAATTCTTTTATGCATGATTTGATATCTTTGTAATTCTCTTCGAACTATCGGTTTGGTTTGGCCAACTAGATTGGTTTTTCTTGCAATGGGAGAAGTGCTTAGCTTTGGGTTCAATCTTGAAGTGTCCTTTCCTAGTGATAGTAGGGGCAGCAAGGCACGTATTGTATTGTTGCCATCGAGGATAAAAAAGATGGGGTTTTGATCATATTGCTTGAGTTAATACCTCTACATCATGTCATCTTGCTTAATGCGTTACTCCGTTCTTTATGAACTTAATACTCTAGATGCATGCTGGATAGCGGTTTATGTATGGAGTAATAGTAGTAGATGCAGAATCATTCAGTCTACTTGACACGGACATGATGCCTATATTCATGATCATTGCCTTAGATATCGTCATAACTTTGCGCTTTTCTATCAATTCCTTGGCATCAATTTGTTCACCCACTGTATTATTTGCTATCATGAGAGAAGCCTCTAGTGAAACCTATGGCCCTCGGGTCTATTTTCCATCATATAAGTTTCCGATCTACTATTTTGCAATCTTTTATTTTTCGATCTATAAACCAAAAATACCAAAAATATTTATTGTACCGTTTATCTATCTATATCAGATCTCACTTTTGCAAGTAACCGTGAAGGGATTGACAACCCCTTTATCGCGTTGGGTGCAAGTTGTTGTTTGTTTGTGCAGGTATTCAGTGACTTGTGCATTCTCTCCTACTGGATTGATACCTTGGTTCTCAAAATGAGGGAAATACTTATATCTACTTTGCTGCATCGCCCTTTCCTCTTCAAGGGAAAAACCAAAGCAGGCTAAAGAAGTAGT